TAATCAAAAATTAAATTTACTTAAATATTTACCATAGTTTCATATAATATGAACTTGAATCTTAAGAATAAAATTATGAAAATAATTCAACAAAATTACTGATATGCGTTGGTTTATAAAAATAAATTAAAAAATTATATATTAATTTATAAATTCGAATAAAAATAGATAGAATAATGTATCACGCATAATGAATAATCATTATTCGAATAAATTATCAAATATTCGACTAAAATAAATTCATTCGAGTAATTATCTTAAATAAACATTTATATTCGAATAATTGCCAACCCTGCCGCGTAATTTCCGCCCCAAACGTTGACGGCGGGTCTTGTCGCGACGCAGAAAATCAGCGTCCTCGCCGATAAGCTAACAATATTTTGCGCCGTTTGAAATTTCGAAAGGAACAGGACCCGAGGACACAGGAGATTCGGCCAGGACATCGGTAGTGGGGCGGCGATCGAGCAAGGTATCCGATTCAGTAGGAACGCGAGTTGGCAGCCGGTCAGTCGCGTTGTCAGAAGTGTCAGAAGGAAGTGTCGCGCAAAGACCGGCGCTCGACAGCCCGTCGTCAGTCGCGAAAAAGAAGCGGACTGGCCCGATCAGCTCGATTGGCGTATCTCATTGCCGAGCAGGCTTGTAATCGCGTTGATCACCGGAGTCACGGTGTTCACCTGTCAGCTAGCAGAGTCTTACCTGCTCGCTGTCAGTCGAGGCGCCACGTGCGCGATGGGCATGATGGGAATGTTCAAGTGGCTTCGAAAGTAAGTCTTTCTTTTTCCACGTTTATTCCTTTGTTCCGATGGACCATTAATTCTTTCATCCAATTTCAAGGATTTCTACTAATCGCGCACGCGCGTGTGTGTATGTGTTCTTGTGTGTAATATGCGCTGTTTGCACGCGACGTTTTGTGTTGGACCACGTTAGTATCAGACTTGGGTAAAAATATTTGAAAAATACTCTTGTTCGTGTGAAATAATACTTCGAGATTTATTTGACGTCGTAGAGATGAGTAACATGTATCGAAAATAGTTGTTTATGTTGTGCTAATTATTCGAAATGACATTTCATGTGTCCGAACTCTTCTATTAATTATTTGAAATTTTATTTCTTGCAATTGGTATTTATGAGAGAAAATAAACCTATAGAAAAAGTACAAATATATATCCGGTTTTCAGAAATAAGCTGTTTTTTTATTTTTATTTTAATTACAAACGTAAACGCGAATGTCAAAAGTTGTCACAGTTGTTTGGTCGGCTAAATTTCATGGAAATAATATTCAAGCGTTTCATTTCACTCATAATAAAGAAAATATTTATTTGAATTAAGTATTTTAGGATCATATTGCAAAATACGTATTTTAAATACGTGTCACATATTTGCAAAATCTGTTAGATTATGTCAATGGGCATGACTTGTTGCTACACGACTTAAATTTTTCATCGAACAATTTATTACAAAGTGTTTTAACTGTTTTAACTGTAGACTTCGAAAAATTATAAAATCATCATCGATAGATAATGTGTTTGACACTGGAAGTTAGAGCTTTGATTTGGAAGAATTTATTTCTACTTTTCGATATTTTTCACCATAGATTCGAATTCAGAATCGATCTCTATAAAAGAGTATAATTGCAACAATTTTAATCGAGGATATGTTTTCTATTTTAAAAAACAGATTTGCGAACATAAACTTTGCGTTCAAATTTTGTGTGATTTACACATTATTTCTTGTAGATTAGTTTGTGAAAAACAAAGTCACAATTGAGGTATGATTAACAGGTTAAAAAGACAGAGAAAGTCAGAATAATAAATCTCTAAGATTTATTGCAGCAGTTGTTTTTATAGATCCTAAAAGAGTTTGCTTTACTTTTATATAATAGATCGTAATCAAAACTGATTAAAGGATATTGTGTTAGTCGTGCATGACTGACGTGACGATCAAAGTGTTAAAGAGCTTCAGTCGCCCGCGAATGTGCAAATCTAGAAATTTTGCGATCATCTATTAGATAGCGAAACGTAGAATTCAAACATTTGTAGATTTTAAGTATAGTCTGACTGAAAATTATTCAAGGTAATTGCGTCGTTACTTGACGTCTTCTATGCGACTTTGAACGATTATGTCAATAACATTCGCCGGCAAATGTGTTCTTGCTACTGTAGAAGGTTAATTGTTATTAGAAACGAAAGGACAAGTCCAATATTTATAATCATTAATAAATTGCGCATCTTATGCATTTATGAAAAAAATAACTAGATGAAATACCAAGAAATAACGACATTAGACAAAGGAAACGTCCCTATATGTATATTCTCGTCAATGAATTGAAATCATCGACAGAAGAAACACATTTTTATTTAGATTTTATTCCTTGCAATCGATTCGGAAACTTCTTGTTTTGCATAAAGATCTGCTGTCCGGTCGTTAATTATTATTACGTACAGTCAATTCATAAATCATGGATGAATGGATTGTCTAGATGCTAGATGCATGCATAGTGACTACTGTTCTTATTTCGCAGACAGTTATTTTCTGAACCGTTATCGTTGCGCAGCATCCTTAGCATTTTCTATCGTGGAATTTCTTCTATATGCTGAAAATATTCTTATTAATGCTATTTTCCATCGCATATTTTATGTCCCACAAATGCTTGGCATTCGGTCGAGCATAACTTAACAATCGATAGCGCTATCAATCCGTGAAAGTGTTGTCGGGAATTTATATTCAAGGAAACGAAGCTTTAAAAATCTGGCTAATTAACGTTCCGCTATAGTAATCAGACCGCGAACTTTTACATATTTAAAGACCCACTTAGAAAAACAGAAACTGAATTGATATTAATTTATTGCCCCCGGCAAGAAGTCGAATCAACTCTGCTAGTAGACCAGTATTAATTATTTATGATATATTTATAGCATATTTTTATAACCCCACATTCTATATCATAATAACTTATTTAATAATTATTTCTGATATATTTGTATCATATTTTTGTAATCACAGTTTATTTAATAATAACTTATTTGATAACAGCTGTTTACAGCTGTTATCATATATTACATATATGATAATGTAATACGTGAAAGTAAACATCGTTTTTAAACAACAATATTACATACTGTCGAAAACTCAGGTCAGTTTAACACATTAAGTGTCGAATATTAACTCGAAAAATTCACGCAATATCAAAGTCATTTAATTAATGACACCGAAACTAGAAAGTGAATATTTACCACAGGAAATATTGGTTCAGCTATTTTATATTCTACAAATCCTAGTAACATTCAATTTGTTCAATATATTACAATAAAAATGAATCTCAAAAACCTACGCACTGAACGTATTAATTCTAATAAACAATAAATTGAAGTGTACTTTTAAGTTTGAAAACGCTAAAATTAAACGAACTTGGTAACATTTCGGTTTTTCAAGTGTAAATTTTTCACGCGATTCGTAACATTAACGCGAAAACAACGGTCTACGAAAATAAATATTCAATTACTCAGCGATAACGGTTCGTGACGTAGGCAGGTACGTTTGAAAAGTGTTATTATGAAGCAAGCATTAACCGTTGGCTTACAAATACGATTGCCAAACGTGTTTATCGTACATGCGATTACTTCCAATTGAACTCTTCCCCGAAAAGATACATTTGCGTTTTTTTCTTCGTGATTTAGCAATTTATTCTTGAAGCTCTGAGAACAGTTTCGTCAAGTTAATTCATCGTTTACGTTGTGTTGCATCGATTTATGTTTGAGTAAAATGCAGCCACTCTTGCAAGGTAGTTGGAAATTGAACTATCAGCTGTGTCGTTAAACGAAAACTCGAATTATCTTGAAGTGAAACACGCATGACTTAATGCTGTCTCATAATCACCCGCATATTTATAAAAAGTTACGTTTTGAATACGTGATACCACGTGCGTGACATTTTCAACTGCCTGCACGGTACGTTTACGAAAATTTTGTAGATACAACTTTTTCTTGGTAATATCAGTCATCAGAATGATGATAATTGCTTGTGCGAGGCTCCACGCATCATTTTAACGCTTTATTTACCGGAAACCTATTAATAGAATTTTTGACGGAGAAGATAATACGTAAACATAGCTCGACAATGTTCTTTTAAATAATCATTTCGAATGAACATGTTACATTACATTAATCCAAATAATTGATTGGATTATGAATGAAATTGTTCTCGCTTTTGATCAAATTTTTAAAGATATTTTCAACTGTTGATCCTCGATTTTAAAACAAAATCCTCGGTTTTAAATTAACAACAATTGAAGCTAATTGCATTTAATATTGTTTAGTAATGGGTTATTGATTTCAGGAAAAGACATTTAGACTTTAATAATTGATTATAATATATGCCGTTCATTTTATTTTATATTCTGTTAATCGTATACAATCATCTAATTATCTAAGCATATACACGTTTCAGTAATATACATTGGACATAATATTTTGAAATCGTAATAAGTGGCAGGATTGCATAAATTTTGCCTACACGTAACAATTAAACTGAATTTATCAACACCGTTTGAAAACACGATCGAAACTTTCACGAGATGCTAATACACCGGAAAAACGAATCTTAATTAGCAAATTATGAAGAATACTAATCAGGATACTGTTTACGTCGAGCAAAACGCAAATGGAGCTTCGAAAGTGGTTTAACATGTTGCAAACCTGGACACATTTAAAATGACACTATTTAAAATATCATTTCAAATAACATGCTATTTTATTTCATTGTTATTTTCATGCCTGCGATCCGTTCTGAAATAACATTATTTAAGAAATGGTTTCAAATAACATGTTATTTTATTTTATAATTATTTGAAATAATTATGAAGTTAATTTTAATGTTTGGGGCTAGTTTACTGGGGCTGGCTTTTGCCTGTAACAAATTATTGTGAAGATTTTATGAAATAAAGTCCATTATTATTTTCCGCATTATTTCTTTTGGTCAATTTGAATGAAAGAAGTAGCAAAATAATTTCATATAAATAATTTCAGATAGTTATCNATAATTATTTGAAATAATTATGAAGTTAAGTTCAATGTTTTTAATCAAATCTTTTCCTTGATTATTATTTTTTTGCGAATTATTTCTTTGTGAAGAGGATATTGCTTTAAACAAATTGCTGTGAAGATTTCATAAAATAAAATTTGTTTGCTCATTATCATTTTAAGCATTATTTTTTATTTTTACTTCAAATATAATAGTTATTTTCTATTTTTATTTCAAATAGAGTTACTTTTTACTCTTATAAATAAATGTTAATTACGTTAATAGGAAATTATTTGCTAAAATAAGGGAAAAAGGTTTTTAAATTATTCCAAAATATTGTTAAGAATTTTCCATAGAATGAATTTGCAACGAGAAAATACGTCTGTTCCAATAATTTCTCGACAGGACGTTCGAAGACAATGTTTATTCGAAAAGTAGAATACGTAAGCACACGAGACGCCAACTGTTGGATTGTTAATGTCACAATTCTCGCGCTACAGCACCGGCTTGTGTATTTACAAAGGCTTGTTTTAAAGAGTCGCGATCGTAATTACATTGCAATTCGCGTTAGTTACAACCTCGTGAGTGCTACGACCTCTATAATCATCAGCGATAACAGCGTCACAGCTTAAAAAGTTTATCTCGATGGGCTTACACGTCTTACAAATTTTCTCCTTACAGAAATTTCAGTGATCACTATTTAACGTTCGAAACGACAGACCTCATTGACAAAAATATTGCTCAG